AACTGACTTGCGTGTTGCGTAAGCTCCTGCACGTAAAGGACGCAGAAGGGCTGCAAAGCCAGTGCTGCTGGCGACAGATGGGTAGAGCCTGTATCTCACCAATCACCGCCTCCGCTTCGGGGGGCTGGGCTGCACAGCACTGTCTGCGCTGAACTTGGCGTCGGTGCTCTGTTACAGCCATGCAGCTTATTGCTCTAACTGCTGTAAAGCACTTGGCCCTCAGGAGAAAAGTCCTTTTCCGCGGTTTCCGACAAACGGCAACCATGTCCACACTCCTGATCAACCAGCCGAAATACTCCTGGCTCAAAGAACTAGGCCTAAAGGAGGAAAATGCCGGAGTTTACAATGGAGCGTGGGGAGGGAAGGGAGAGGTAAGACGCGAAGAGATTTAAGTGGCATTAGGTAGCAAGGGCAGCCAATAGCAATGATTTGCTAAAAATACTTATGAAGATGGCTGCAAATCGAGACTGTCCCATTCACTTAAACGTTTCTACTGTTATTTATTTAAAATTTAATCCACTCGATGCTAAGATACAGAAAAACCGTTTAATGTATTAATATCCTAAATGAGATCTGAAAAATGCATTGTAAAATTTTAACATAGCATCCCTCCACTTAAAATTACCTGCATTGAGCTACGTATCATAAAGTTCTGCTGCTTTTTTGTTTCTTCGATACGAATTATGTCAACATAAACCTAGGCCTTTGTAAAAGTTTCTTCAAGCTAATACTATCTCGTGCGGTGTATGTTTATTTCTTTTTTCGTGTAACATTTTGAAAATGTTTATATAAAAACAAATTCCGCCAGGTGTTTTCCCAGTTTTATTAACTTATTTTAAAATTTCCCTTAAATGTACCACAGTATTTGCTTATTCTTCTTTTTCTATTATATGTGAGTTTGATTTGCGTGCTAACTATACCAAGATCGAGATCATTGATATAAATTAGAAAGAGCAGTGGTGCTAGTACAAATACAGTATCTGCAGCACTTGGCTAATTATATCTTCCGAATCGGAGGATTCATTAATTCTTATTTGCACTACTCCCTATCCATTTACCAGTTCTGAATCCCACAAAACATGCATTGTCTTGCATATCAATTGGAATTTATATAAAAGAAATAAGACTTATTGGCTTACTTGGTTTGGTTCTGATGCCCTTTTTATTCCCTTCTTGTTAATGGGCTATGAATAACATTTCTTGTGTCCTAAAGTAGAATCGGTAGAATTCCATATGACTGTGGGGATTTAAGTGCGTTTAATAGCTATAACAATTCTCTCTGTTCTGTGCTAAAGCTGCATAACAGAAGTTTGACTTTGCTCAGCCAGAGGCATGTTGACAGGTTGTCTTAACCTGTCAGCCATATCACTAGCCAGCAGCCATATCACTCTGCAACTCACAACTGGCACCCCACTGAGGTTAAGCAGCTGTGAGCCTGGCCAGTACCTGGACGGGAGCCCTCCTAGGAAAAACTAAGGTTGCTGCTGGAAGAGGTGTTAGTGGGGCCAGCAGGGGGCGCTCACCCTGCGGTCCACGTGGGTCCTAATGCCCCAGTATAGTGATGGGGACACTATACTGTAAACAGGTGCCGTCCTTCGGATGAGATGTAAAACCGAGGTCCTGGCTCTCTGTGGTCATTAAAAATCCCAGGCTGTTTTATGAAAAGAGAAGGTGTACCGGTGTCCTGGCCTCTTAATAATCCCCGTCTATGAATTGGCTTCATTACTCTGCTCTCCTCCCCACTGATAGCTGGTGTGCGGTGTGCGGTGAGCGTTCTGGGGAGCCACCATTAGTGGAGCTCAAGCGCTATATAAGTGTAAGCAATTATTATTATTGTTAATGAACACCTGAGGGAAATCTCCATTTATGTTAGCCATACCCCGCCATAACCCGTCATTGTCTAAAAACATCCAGTTTAGAGGTTTACTTGTGGTGTTAAGCTTACATGTGATTAGTTCTTCTAGATTAACTATATTATGTGCTATTTGTTAAAGATGCACTGAAAATAGTATGCTTTAAAGATGTAGGATATAATTAATATTGTCTTTCTAGGTCATCACTTCTTATTGCCCTGCCAACAATGAACCCATTGCAAGAGTCCGACAGGTAATTTCAGCCTCATTCTCTTAATGCTTATATTTATCCTGGTGGATGTCATGGTTGAAAGCTGTGTTCTGTGCATAAATATATATCCAAGGCCATTTACTTTAGGGACAGATATATATTACTTACCAGTCTGATAGCATTTGAAGTAGACTTATTGCATAAACCTTTGTCCTCTGGATGACCTTGCTTACTATAATGCCAAACTGACAGATAGATATAGTTATAATACATTTCTTATTTATTAAAGGATGAAAACAAAAAAAATATATATACAAGCATTTTGACATAAACTCTTGAGCAAAGAAACTGTATTTTTGGAGATTCACAGATGGCAAAATACCTTATAGAGCTTAATGTTCACAGATGCTACTGATACAATTATTTTTCCTAAATGTCTTGTTAATTTTTAAAGTAATTCTTTATTTAATTTGTCACTGTAATGGATTACTTTTTAAAGTAACTTTCCCAAGCAATGCTGATACCTTTTCTTCACAGCAATGTAGGCATAGCACCACATTCTACTTCCTCTATTACATTCTGTGACTATTTGGAAAAGTACTTTTCTCAGAAATCCCTTAAAGGGCTTTAGACATTTATTTATGTTATTGAACTAAATTTGCAAATTTCTGCCTACACCTCATTCCTAGATTAATTTCTGTTCATGTAATAAATGTCCTTTTTATTCTGTTTTGCGGTCTGTCATCATTAGTGAACGCAGTTAAAAATGAACTGTTACTGTCTTGTCACAGATGAGCTCCATTGCAACAGTTTAAAAATTGTGCAATCTTCCTCTCATCCTCTCAACATTTCTGTTTCTACGTAAAATCTTTTTAGGGTCATTGTTTAATATATGGAGGCTTATCTCATTTAAAAATATTTTGTGAATGTTACTCAACTTTCCATTTCCCAGTTTGCCTAAAAAAAGGGATGGATCATTCAAAAAAGGGATTACTTAACAATTCATACAAAAAGTAAGTAAAACACAAGCATTGGAAAATATTTCACATATCCCAGATGTACCTGGTACATTCAACAACAATTGGAACAGAACTTTTCCTGAGTTTGAGTGAATAGTTTGGTGCCAATTATTAAAGTTTTTTTGTGTTTGAGAATAAAGGGCGGTTTGGAGGTAAATAATTCTGAGCATGCTACTTTGAGTGAAACTCACTTGGCTGTGAACATTGTGATGGTACTTAGGATTCTTTTTTGTGCTTAATTTCAAGGCCACGATGGCAGAGTATGAAGAGACCGTGAACAAGGCAAAAGAAGCCTGGAAAGTGTGGGCAGATGTAAGTACTGTCAGTAAAGCATTCTAAGGATAAACCAGAAAGACACACTTGTCGTGTTACTGTCAGAAACACTCAGTGTAGAAAAGAATCCACAAACACATGTGATGCATTCAAAATAATAGGATGTGTATGGTGGATTAATACAAGTAATTAGTTGTGAAATTTTCAAATTGCCATCACAGGTCTTTGCTTGTTTATTATCTATTCATCACCACAACAAATTCAGCAGCATGAGATTACCTCTCTCCTCTTGAAGAAAAGCAAAAACAGAAGAGAGCTACAGCATGTATTTAGTACACCTTCAAACTAGTAATTCTAAATGCTAGCTGATGTATGAACAATCCTTTTTTTCCCATTTTCATTATTTTTTTAAAGGAAATATCTATATTGTTATTGTCAAGTATGATCCTTCAAAAAAACATTAGTCTGACTTAAACAAAACTAAAATGTAGTGCTGAAAGTTAAATTTTTTGAAATTATTTTTAAATAGTGTGTCTTGGTGTTGGTTCTTTACAAGGTTTGTAAACATATATTCATACTGTTTAAATGTGATAACTGAAAGTCATTTCCTTTTTTACATAGATTCCAGCTCCTAAACGGGGAGAAATTGTAAGACAAATAGGAGATGCTTTAAGGAAGAAGATTAAAATTCTGGGTAGCTTGGTAAGAACTTTTGAGAAGCATCTACTAACTTTATTCTGACATATTCAAAAATAAGGGTTAGCTTTTCCTCAAGACAGTTCTTTCCTGTCCTGGTGTGTTTAAAACATACAGAGATAGGAAAAGCAATATTTTGCTCTTAACATCACATTGTTCTGGATGAAAAGGTCTGTTTACATTCTATTACTGTTTAACGTTAATGCAGTCGAACGTTAATTAAAAAAAGTTTTTAAAGCCAAGAATTCAAAGTCTTCAAAGGCGCTGACAAAGTCAACACTGCAGACTTTTTCAGAATAAACAGTAAAATATGAACCCGAGAACACAAGTGGACACTTAGAAGGAATAATGCTTTTAATACTGTGAACAGGAGCTACTTTTTTACCCAAAGGGTTGTGGATGTAAGACCCTCCCCAGCCATCCTTGGATCAGTTTGCTCCTAGATACCAAATGGGCTAGAGGTCTGAATGGTCTGAAGTATATCTTAGAGCAATTGATTGATTTTTAATACTGGAAGTTAGGAAATTCAGAGGTTGAATGTTGTAGATTCACTATCTTTAAAACATGAAGGGCAGACATGTTGCTATGACCAAATACTTCAGCCATTTCAGTGTGTGATGTTAGATACTATGGATGCTATGTTGTCATATAAGATATGTGTACATGAACATTTTTTTTTCTCACTTCTCAAACTATTCTGATGTCTTGTAATAGAAAATTCCACTTATGGCTTCAGTTTGTTTAATTATAGTTTACAATACAATATAATTAATTATTAATATAATCAGCATTTCTGATTTGTGCTTTGAGGCGGCACAATAGATGGTCTGTCTTATGCTTCTGCCTTTTTTGTGCAGGTATCCCTGGAAATGGGAAAAATTTATGTAGAAGGTGTGGGAGAGGTTCAGGAGTATGTAGATATCTGTGACTATGCTGTTGGTCTCTCCAGAATGATTGGCGGGCCTGTTCTACCTTCAGAAAGTAAGTCAGGATTTGCCTGCATGTGTATTTTCATGCATCTACAAATACTGGTGTCATAACCAAATCTAATATTATAATCACTTAATCACAGTTTTGGAAAGGCTCTATTGGAAGAGAGAAAAGCACATTGAAAGTCTGGGTATTTATGCAAGTACTTATTTTTCGTAAACTATGTAACAGTGTTTAATTACATGTCAGGAGTACTCACAAAAGCAGAAAGATATCTAGTGCTTGTTTTCGGATGAATCATTTAAGAATAACAATCTGTACAGAGAATTAAGTCAAGGTTTGCTAATAACCTGATAATGATCAAAGTCAGATCAATCTAGAGTGGGTCTTGTGGTTTGAACAGTACACAGGTTAATTATTTAGATTGGCCTCATCAAATGCTTTTCAGATTTTTTTACTTCTAAAACATGACTATGTTCTTATCTGTTCCTCCACACCCACCCTCTTTAGATTTGAGTCCTTATTTCTACTGTTGACAGATCCTCCACTTGAATCTAAATGCACCAGCATTTGTTTCCAGCAAATTGAGGTCTTACAGTTGTCCTGCAATTACCTTTAAATTGTTTACAAAAGAGAGTTTCAGTTTTTTTCTCAGATGAGCCTTTAAATTTGAGGCTTGTGATTGATTGTTATAGGATTATGGTAAATAACAGAAATTGAATTTCAGTGACATTTGTTTTTCATATTTTCTGTTGGAAGTGGAAAAACCCAACTTTTTAAAAGCAAAATTATAATGTTCTGGATATAAGTGTGTATACTGTGTGTATATTGGTGATTTAACTGCTTCTCAGCTTTCAGAAATTTCCATTTTTGGAAAATCACCCGTTTCTGACTATTTCATTCCTTAGGACCAGGTCATGCTCTTATTGAGCAGTGGAATCCAGTTGGTCTTGTTGGAATCATCACTGCATTTAACTTTCCAGTGGCTGTATACGGCTGGAACAATGCTATAGCACTTACATGTGGAAATGTCTGTCTATGGTAAGATCAAGCTGAAACATAATATATCACCACACAAAATGTAGTTTTTTTTAAAGGTGGGAATCTCTATGTACGGTTTAAGAACAGTTTCGAAAATATGTACTAATATTTGTATGAATTCCCACTCAATTTGAAATCGCCACTGCTGCCTTGACCCTCAGCTATGTCCCACACGTGGAGAATGAAGGAGGGCAGACTGTAAGCACATAACAATTACAGTACGAGGTCAGTGCCAGTTGCAGGAGTGGCATGTCTCTCACTGACACTTCAAGTCTGGGCTGTTTTCCTAGAAGATGAGAGAGCCCTGAGTGACCAATATTGGCCCCCATCTCCAGCATTGAATCCTCAAATTTTCGCTCACAATTTGCCAGATTCCTTTGGTTTGCCAAGCAGAACTGGCATCAAGTTGTGAACTTGTAAATGACTAAGTGATCGCAGTTGAGGAGGAGGCACTTACAGTATGTTGTCTTCGACTTTCTCGTGGCACAAAGGTGTTAACAGTAAGCTGCTCTGATTAACACCTGGGAAGCTTACATACTCAATTGGTGACACCAAATGCAAAAAATAAAAAGGAAAAGCATTTTTTTTGTTCCTGTTTTGGCAAAGAAATATAGATACATTGCAGTAGACATTTGTATAATGTTTTTTTTTTCTACAGAATCACAGAGCAGAATATGTTGTGTGTACAGACTGCATAATATTACATGAATCAAACCACATATGTAGTCAGTGTTAAAGTAATGAGGAAATGGTATGACAGCTTTGCAGCATCTGTGATATCTTTACTGTTAATTCTAGAATTAATCTAATAAATATATTCCTTGTTTTCACATGCACTGAAAATTAAAACATTAAGTTTTAATGTGAGTTACTTTTTTTGTCATTTTTTTTGAGAGTCCCAAGTTGAATAAATTATTCTCATTTTCATAGTTTTGCTGCCAGGCAGTGGCGTCTCAGAGTCCCTAACATCTGCTCTTTACGCCCATTTTAGATGTTTGTGTCAATTTAAACAGAGAAAAGTCTGATGAGACTTGTTAATTGCAAGATTAGATCATCTGACTTCACCTGTGTTTCCAGACTGTTCAGTTCTATAATGCTTACAGATACTGAGACAATTTGACATTTGACAACTGGAGGACTTGACTTACTCTTATTAGTACTATTTTCTTACTAATAATTGATGCATTTTATTAAAATAACCTTTTTTTCCCCATCAGGAAAGGTGCACCCACTACTCCCCTTACTAGTGTAGCTGTCACAAAGTAAGTTTAATATTTTGTTGATTTGTAACCAACTTTTGAAACTTGTCTTCTGTCAGAGTATTACATCCTGGGTATATGTAAATATGATATGCTGTTAGCATGGTACCATAGTATGTTGTCATTTTCTGCGATACCAGAGAATGGCTTTCTGCCTTCTAAAATAAATCACATATACCTCATGTACATTACTGTATAAGTAGTTTTTGATTCACATTCTTAATTTTTTGCATTTTTTGTTTAAAGCGTCTCAATATATATATGTACTATTTCTTAGTTTAGTAAGAATTAGCTCTCACTTAAGTTCTTTAGTGTTCATGTAGGTTTCCTCCAGTAGTCTGTCACCATGAATAATATGTGTAATGAGATGCAAAACATGTCAAGATTTGCCGAGAAACACAAAATGCAATTCAGTGCCAAAGATTCTTGGAGATTCAATTTCTGAATTTAAAGAAATAACTTCTGTGGCAGGAACACAATGCAAAAGGAACATGTTCTTACTGTGAAGCCTTCATTAACAGTAAGATGTGTTTTTTGTTAAGGTGTGAGGAGGGACAGAGTTTTTTAAAGTGAATACATTTTAAGACTTGCAAACCCCAAAAGTCTGAAAAGTTGGCTTATATGCTTAGCAGATCCCTAAATTACAAAGAATATTAAAATGATACTTACGAGGGTTTAAAATAGCATTCAATAAGCTCATTGACTGCAAAAGGACCAAAGATTAGTTGTTCAGATGTCTAAGGGCACATGACTATATATTTTCAAGTGTTCATCACCCACCATGAACAACAATTTTCCTTTCACATCTTACATAAACTTGTTAAATATTAACAGACATTTTGTTTAAACTTATATTATGTAATTGCTTTATTTATGAGAGTTCAGACCTATTTACATTTATTCTTATGAGAAGTTAGTTTTTTAATTTCAGCAACATTTTCAACACAACCACATATCCCTGGTAAATTGAGAACTACCTGTATATAACACTGACAATGCTTAAAATGTATGTTGCACATTTCACAAGAATATTTAGCTGGTAAACTGAAAGCAATTCAGAAATCAACAAAACACAGGTTTAGTAATATCCTAATTTTTACCAAATGTCTTTTACTTTACCTTCACCAAAGTGGCTTAGCAAGATCCGGAAGGCAAGTCCTGTGTGGGCAGTGCTTGGTGGTTGCTTTTTAGCTGATTCTTAAACGTTATTAAAGAATGCACAACAACCACCATACAACGTTATCTTTATACTTTACCAACACTTTTTCTTAACTGGCTAGTTGGATGTGCAGATAGAATTCAGCATTCTGTAGACTCGCTATGCAGTACGCTGCATTGTAATTGAACAAACTGTATAAATGTAGAAATGATGGTCATATACAGTATAAAAATTATATCTATATGTTATAGTTGGAAGTGCATTCTTGACTTTATACACATATTCAGTTCTGATGTGTAGCAGAACCTAACTGGGATTTTATGAAATCTCACTTTCGTAGTTTTGCTGTCAGGCAGTGGCGTCTCAGAGTCCTTAACATCTGCCCTTTAAGCAGGTGAAGAAGTTTAACACACCTGAAGAAAGCTCCATGGCCGAAATGTTGTGTTTTCTTTCTTCTTTTTTCAGTATGGAATAACCCTATTACTTGTTCATCTGCCCTTTAAGCCCATTTTAGATGATTGTGTCAATTTAAACAGTGAAAAGTCGGATTGAGACTTGTTAATTGCACGATTAGATCAGCTGGTTTCACCTGTGTTTCCAAACTGTTCAATTCTATAATGTTTACAGATACTGAGAAAATGTGTCATTTTACAACTGGAGGACTTGACTTACTCTTATTAGTACTATTTTCTTACTAATAATTGATGCAATCCTCATATTTGTTGATATTATGTGCAGTCTGTGTACCTGTGTGCTCATTAAGCATCTAGTTACTGTTTTTACAAAGAGTAAACTTTTTTCCATGTTGGCTGTCTTGAGTCTGGAATGAAACAAGTGTTTTGTTTTGTTTCTTCAGAATCATTGCAGAGGTGCTGGAACAAAACAACCTGCCTGGTGCAGTTTGCTCCATGGTGTGTGGGGGGGCTGATATTGGGTGAGCTTTGTCATGTACTTTGCAGACTCAGTATTCTGTTTGAATTTATTATTTGGTGTTAGGGATCCTGTTGTGCGTTATAACAGCTGTTAACCTGCCTTTTATTTTCTGAGAGATAAATCCCTATGTGAAACCAGATGAATGTTAAGAGCTTAAAGCTTGTGTAGTAAATCTATGGTAACAGGTGTTCTATCTCTTCTCTTTATCATGTAGTGGATGTGTTAAATTCCAGAGGATTTCAGTACTGTATCCGTGATGGAAGATTGTAAAAGAAACGATAGTCCTTTGTATTTAAAGGAAGAACAGAGGAGAGCTTGTTCACACTTTTGTGAAGTAACTCCTGCTGTTCCCTCTCTGTAGAACGTCCATTTCTAAGGATGAGCGGATTGACCTGGTGTCCTTCACTGGCAGCACTCATGTAGGGAAGCAAGTGTCTTTGATGGTGCAGGAGAGATTTGGTGAGTTCTGACTGACAGTTGGTACTGTATAAAAATTACTTTATAATAGTAAATGTAATATTCTCAAATTAACTTAATTGCAATTCAGAGTGGCTGACTGGGTCTTTTATTGGAAGCAGAGCACGACGAAACTGAGCCGAAGGTTATTAAGTGAAATTTTCTAATAAGCCGCACAACAGACTAGGATGGGGAGAAAAATCTAGTGAGTTGAACCTCTCCCTGCCCCATCCCAAAGTACCCACTACCCAGCATCCGCAGCTCAGCTTGGTCTTATTTGTGTGTTGTAATAAATGCTTCTGGTTCTGTGTCAGTGGCATGAAGAATGACAGGCTGGAGAAAACTTTTGATGCTCACTGACAGTCTTTTTGCTCATTTTATTACAACTGGCATTCTCATCACAGAGGCATGGAGAGAAAGTGCAGATATCCACTAGAAGCAGAGGAGGGATTTATGTTGTTTATTTTAGATGATTACTAAAAGTTTGTGATTACTGTTGTTTAAGTTGATCAATGTTTGTTTAATTAACTTAAAGCAAATGCATTAGTGCATTAATCGTGTATTATTTTAATAATGTGATAAATTATTATTTAAGGGATATATGGTGGTATGTTATGCAAAGGTATAGGATTGGATGTGGTTATATGCCAGTTTCTCTGCACTGATCCCTCGCAACTGTCGAGACCATAATGTACTGTATAGCCTGGGCAAGGTCTTAAACATAGTATAAATGTCTAACTTCCTATAATTTTATACAATAGTTTTTATAAACATCTCATGTTTTTCTTGAGTTATGTACACTTTCATTTTCCATGATTGTTTTAGAGAAATACCCGCTGAATTATACAACATGTAGTCATTTACTGGGCAATAATTTCTGGTCCTGGCTAAATTTCCCATTGGTCCTTACTGATCATGGCCCTCCCCACTGATAGCTGATGTGTGGTGAGCGTTCTGGCGCACTATGGCTGCCGTTGCATCATCCAGGTGGGGCACATTGATGGTGGTGGAGGAGAGTCCTCATTACCTGTAAAGGGCTTTAAGTGGAGTGTCCAGAAAAGCGCTATATATGTGTAAGCAATTTATTATTATTATTATTATTATTATTATAAACAAGTGTACATCCAGCACAAATGGGGTTTAGAATACTGTCCCTCTCCCCTGTAGGTTAAAGAGAAAAATAAGTCTTAATAATGTTGTCAAGCATTTTCCTCAAAGCTGTACGGGCCATCCCACTCTTCATGTAGAGCTCTTTTTATCTCAAGGAGCAAGCAGAAGTTCGTTCTGTGCTGAAAGTTAGAAAGAAAGAATGTTGTTTTTTCATTCTTTTTAGTTTTAGCATTGAATTAACTCTGCTTGCTTCTTTTTAGTTCACACTGAGATGAAGCTCCCCACAGCCAACTTTTATTCCTTAATTTTTTTGTAGAATTGAAGAAATGAATAGGCTACAAACCTCAACTGCAGATTTTTATAATGTTCGTTCCATTAATTTTGAATGATTTGTAGGGCGCCAGTTGCTTGAGCTTGGTGGGAACAATGCCATTGTGGGTGAGCTGCTTTTTTTATATATATATATCCATGTCATAATTCAGTTTTTCCATGATAGACTAAACTAGTTCGATATTATGTTGTTGTGCTATTCATATTTTAAAATTATAATGCCTTGAATTTTAAATAATTTTTGCTGTTAGATGCAGAAGATTGTTTTCAAGGCAAAATTGGTTTTAATTTGTTATAACGATTCTTATTAATTATAGAATTAATACTATGCTTTAAAAGATTATGGATTGTTATAATTTTGATAGGAGTTTTCATATTTCACTTTTGTTTTACTATCGGCTTTTAAAAATTGACAAAGTACACATATTAAGATGTAAATTGTGTAAAATGTTCCCAGACTTCAGTTTTGTTCCACATCCCCTTTGTTTTCCTTAGATTTATTTCAATCAATCTGTAGCAAAAAAATAAAAAATGCCATTATTGTCACTAAAATGGTGTTCTTCTCAGATGTTGGTTCTATTTTTTATTGTCAGATGCTAGATACCAAGTTCTTTCATTTCTTAATGTTTGTAATGTATTTCATAATGATTTTCAGTTTTTGAAGATGCTGACCTTAACCTCGTGGTGCCTTCTGCTGTGTTTGCTGCTGTGGGAACAGCAGGCCAGCGCTGCACAACAACAAGGAGACTGGTAAGGCCTGTGTGTGATGTGCAGTGGGTTGGTACAGTAAATGGCATCACTCTCAGGAGCACACATATCACAGACTTAAAATAATAGCTCTAAACCTATATTCAAGAGTATATTGTTATGGGCTTTGATAAAACTGTAGATAATGTAAGAGGCCATTTCCCCCATTTGCACTATTTGTCTGCTCCTGAATATGATAAATGATAAAAAGTAAGATAATCCCTTATAGCATCAGGGTGCTGAGTTCAATTTCAGCTTAGGGCAGTTGTCTTTGTAGAGGGTTTTATATTGTTCATTCTCCTCTTGTGGGTTTCCACAAAGTGCTCTAGTTTCTTTCCACCTATTAAAGACATCCAGGTTTGGTCTGATTGGCTAGTCTTAACTATCATTTTATGAAGAAGAGGGTTTCAGGGGGATTTATTTTACTCAGTAGGGTTGTTCCCTGTATAGCCAGTATTGAATATGGAATTATATAGAATAGGACAAAATGAGCATGATGGCCCAAATAGCCCCCTCTTAATTGCAGCTTTTCTAATGCTCTAATATTCCTGGTTAGAAAGTGCAGTATTGACATCTTGAGGGCTTTCTTTATTAAATCCATCCACCACTAGACTCTAGCTGTGCCACCAGCAGACGGAACATATGTTATTAACCTAGTTCATATAGTAATCCAACAAAGGGATCATCATATGTGGAGGGACCCCCTGATGGATTGCTTTTGCTCAGCATCACTTCCAGCTGTTAATGCAATTGGTGATTGTTGAAGAACCATAAACCCAATTACAGTTGCCTGAGGGCTCTGAGCTGATCATGTTAAATGGGATGACTGGAATATTGCAATAATACACTTCATTTTAACAGAGCTTTCTGACTGCATTTAACACATCTAAATGGATGTTTTGGCAAAACGTGATTTGGAGGCTGAGGGAGAGGTGCAGCACTATATCTCAAAAGGTTCAGGGACAAAATCTAGAGGAATCAGGGCTCTCCCAATCTGGGTCAGACCTATCAAAAATGTCTGATTCAACATTGCATAATGAAATTAAGAATTTATGTGCAAATAAAGAGTCATGGGAGCCTTCACCTTTTCTCACATAGACTGGGAAATAGAAATGTCAGCAAGAGAAACCAAACTGGTAGACATGATTAATGATTGTTACCTTACCTATAACTGTCAGAACACCAACCAGAGGCAATGGTTGTATTGACCTTGTCTTTTCAAACAATGGAAGCACAAACAGATTAGAGAACCATAGGGGAACTGCAATGTTGATATGTTATACTTTAAAGTATCTTTTAAGATTAAGTAAAAAATCAATAGTTTACAATTTCAGGAAAGCGGAATTTGAAGAAATGAAATAGAGCTTAAGGGAAGTAGAATGGGATAGGATCAATATGGAATCAGTGGAGAGTGTGTGGCAACGAATTAAGAAGATTCTGCTCAAGCAGAACTTTGTTTATCCACAGAATAAATAAAGCAAACTGTATCCCCAACAATTCAAGAAATAATTTATATAAAAAAATTAATCAATTTCCCTATGGGATTAATAAAGTATTATCTATCTATAAGGAAAAAGTTTGCACTTCATAAATGATTAGAAAAACAATATGATACATAAAGAATATGAATCCAACGATTTACAAGTACAGGCTATAAAAAAAGAAAGAAAGACCAATAGACAGATGGAAAGCAATATTCAAAAGTAAAAAAAAAAGAGCCACAGTGGCACATCATGGCTTCTGATCAGAGCTTATCCTGCTTTCTGTAGCCTTAAGTGAACTAGAGCTCACATGACTCCTCTCCTGGATGGAGCATTGATCTATCGTAAGAATTATCACCAGCAATGCTGGCCTCCACATAAACATCTGGGTGAAGTGGTAGAACTTGGATAAGTAACTCACTCCAGTGAACAAGAGCACTGCATGCAGCAAGGACTTTAACCCACAATCGGCCAGATATGAGTCCAAAGGCTTACGAATGCCACTCCCATATTGCAACGTAAGCTGAAATAAACAATAAGATATTTCAGTACTGCAAGATAATGAAGTTAATGGTGACGTATGTGGTACAACTATGGGAAACTTCTAGGTAACGTAACAAGTATTTTCACAGACGTTCAGTAAGGATGAAGTGAACAGTATGCCTCTGGCAGCAGAAGAACAAAGATCTTTATTAAACATTATTAGCATTGGAAGAGGCAAAAGTGTTTTGGGTACAACAAGCACTGAGGATTCAGATATTCTGAGGGCCCAGTGGTCTCTAACCAATTGTACCTAAGGAAATGAGAGCTGTTATTCAATAGCTATTTACACAAAACATGCAACAGTTGCTTATGACAGAGGTAATACTGAAAGACTAATGTAGTGCCCATCCACAAGATGAGTTTCAAAACTGTCCAAAGTACTTATAGACCAATAAGTTTATCTTTTGGAACATGAGGGGTTGTGGAAAATATCATAATCTATTTGAAAATAATATTCTATATCCTATTAACCTCAATAAGTGACGTTACCAGACGATCTTCTTAACGTTCTTTGTAAAATAAACAACAGTAATGTATACACACAGAATATGGTGTGTTGAGATTTCAAGAAAACCTTAGATAAAATGTCTCGCAAAAGATTAAACCTCAAATTACAAGTGATAGGGATTCAGGGAAATGTGTGTAATTGAATTGGGAATTGGTGAACCGAGAGTACATATAAGGGGTGAATGTTCAAAATGGGGTGGTGTAGTTAATGGAAATTGCAAAACATAAACTCTAAACAGAAATGAGATATGTTGAACAAGAAGAGACTGTTTTAAAAAAAGACATATAGTAGGTTTTTTGTAAACACAATTACATTTTCCGAGACAATGTGGTGAATTGATAAAGCAAATAAAATGTTAGGATACATACAGATGTAGCCATTCAAAATGCGCGGTAAAACCCCGTACTGTGAGTTTTGAGCTACAGGCAACCACAGTACGTCTTTCACTGGCCAAATATGATCGACAGATGGCACTCGTGGTGCATTAGTTGTTATTGAAATTATTGCTTTATTTAATCTCTCTACAGTGCCAGTTTAAATCTGCTTAATACACAATGCAGCTTTAACCAAGTAATTCCTGGTTTTAAGAGAGAATTTTGATTTTTTTGTGTAAATTTTTTTACACATTTTTTTGTGTTGGATTGGCAAAATTATCTTAACTTACAGGGTTAACAAAGATTTTAAGCTGATCACGTGGAAGAAAAATCACCTGCTTTTCATGCATATTAAGTTGTGTTTATAACTTATCTACAAACATTTTTTATAGCTTTTAAAGTCATGCAATGTGTAAGCTAGGCAGGGAGATGTCATTGTTTCTTATTTTTGATTTTCTTTAAAAAATCGACTTTCCACTTCCACCTTGCCGTAACTATAGTGGGGATGTAGTATATTTGGGGGCTTGTTCAGGATCTTTGATTTGTTTTGTGGAGCCAATATTTTTTCCTTGGTTCATGCATGCTGCACTTGGGGTTGTTTTAATTTGTAGTGCTCCTTTGTATTACAGGTATTACAGTACTAACGTTTGTATTATGGGTAATTGTGGTGTCGTGGCTTTCAGTTTAGAGGATTTTACTCTTCGCCTACTCTTACTCTCTCGGTTTACTGGGGACATATCAGATATTAAACTGAGGAAGGGATACAACCCCCACGCCCCAGACAGATAAAGGTGATAAAAATCCATTCTAAAAGGTGCAGTGTGTTAACACAAACTCTAACAGAGCCACTTGTGAGAGAAAGGTGACTTTCTGCTCAATTACATAAGAGCTACTGTACAATCAGATAGATTTTGAATACTTTAAGCAACATTAGCTGTTGTCACATTCACCTGCTTTGCATAGTACATGATTTCTGAAAAGGTACCTTTTTCTCTTGTGCAAACTAATCAAAACAACACCCCGCCCCCGGATCTCACCTCCCGCTGTTCCACACACTCGAATCCCAAGAAGTCAGATCCACAGATATGCCAAAATATTAGCGCACACTGCAATGAATGGCATTATATCATATACTGTATATACAGTATGATATTGTATGGTTTCAAAGCCACTACAGTATAGTATGTGTGAAATATTTTTCTTAATCAAAATTTAAAGCTAAACTTCTCTTTGCTGAAATTTGTATTTAGACAAAATCTAGATTTTCTTAATGTAAATTTAAACCTGAAAAGGGCACAACGCAACACTACTTTAATATTAAACTTTCTCTGTACATTTGGCTATGTAAAAAGTATAGCCAAAAGGATCGCTCTGAAAGTTAATTCCAAGCTGAAAAGACAAGACTCAACATGTCTTCTCTATAACTCTTCAGTTTATGGCTCGTCCATGGTCTTTCTTTATTAGTATTATTAATTATATTAAATAAAATATAAAATAAAATTATATTCATAAAATATTCTGTATTACATTTAAATTGGAACATTTTTACATAAATTAAAAGCCGATACACAACGTGTCTGCTCTGTAACTCTTCAGTGTACAGAATAATCCCCACAGAGCAACACAACATTGTCACAACATAGTAAACAGCAGTCAATGGCTCACTTAAAGGTGTAACACGTCTGTCTTCACTGTCATGGTACGGTTTTCACATTTTAATAAGCTGTTCTATAGTTACTGGCAATTGTAAAAATAATCCTTCTTCCCTCCTTTGTTTAACTTAAAGAATTCTGTGAAGAAATCCTTAATCTTAAAACCATCACTTATAATAATTCATCCAGATACACACACACACACTCATGCCAGAGCCAATTTTGCTAGAAACAACCTCCAAGTAAGTCTTTGGACTGTGCTGTACTGTACAGTACAATATACGGTTTAAAGTTTAAAAATTAAAGTTAAATTGTTGGCTGATTACTGGCTGCTGAAATTTGGAGTAAGACAAAATATAGATTTTCTCAAATCGGATGTAAACCTGAAAGAGGCACATCGCATTCACAGCAAGCTATAGTAGTGGACTATGTATTCGGCTATGTAAGAAACAAACCAAAAGTAATTTTCTGGGCTTTGAACCGCCTGGGTGCAGCGCCTTACATTACAGTCCATTGCCCATTACCACTATAAGGACAGTACAAGTTTTTATAAAAAAAAAACATCGTCAAAATGTTTTCAAAACATCCACTTGTGATATTTTAGCTGCTTAGTTACATGTTTCCATATTAATATTGCTGTCAACGTTTTTTAAAATAACAGCAAGTGGAGTGCTTACTACGTATTCTTAGAAAAGCTAAAACATTATAACTTTTTATGAAAGTTTATAAACTTTATAATGTTAGAAAAAGCACATTAAAACCATAACCCACTGTAAGTTAAAGACTTTGATACTTAAAATATTTATGAAGAAGGTGGAATACTGTGTACTTTTTTATATTTAGCTACCACTACCATCTACTGTGTGTACATTAGGCTTGTACTACGTTATACTACTGTTTTTATTTTCCGCTACAAAAAATGTACCTTTGGATTTTCTCGATATGGATTTAAACCTAAAAGAGGCACATCACGTTCACAAGCTACAGTATAATAATAACCTCTTTTTTATATATCCAACTGTGCAATCTTGCTTTTATAAAATATCATACTTTTTAATTAGTTCAGTATGCTGTGATACAGTGTTTAAAATTAATAAAAGTATAAACAGTGTACAACTTAAATTCTATAATTGGGAAAGATTCTCCCTCAGCATTGATCAGGATTCAAAACCAGCTCAAATGCTCTACACGTCACATTAAACTTTCACTGCTCCACCTGGCGGTTTTGCAAAGTAGTGCAGCCCCACAACTGAGTATTTTTACAAAGCTGCGGTATCCCAAATATTAATAATAATTGCTTACACTTACATAGTGCTTTTCTGGACATTCCATTCAAAGCACTTTACAGGTAATGGGGACTGCCCTCCACCACCACCAATGTGCAGCATCCACCTGGATGTTCGAAGCCACTGAAATGCAAACTACTGCGGTACCCCCCGCACATTCTGAATGGCTGGATCTGTAGTTGATTTCAAATCAAGGGATGTTATGTTAAAATTCTATAATACACTAAGTAGGCCTTATTTAGAATATTGTGTACACTTTTGTCACCACATTATAGAAAAATATTGCTGCTGCTCTGAAGTTAGTCCAGAGAAGAGCAACAAGATGCATTCTGGGCCTTAAGGGAATGTTCTACACTTACAGGCTGAAGGAACAGAACCTTTTTAGTCTTGAACAGAGGAGACTACAGGGAGACCTGTTACTGATTTAGTGCTGACTTTCTGAATAGTTTTTATAAATATAAGAACTGTTATACCGAGTTTTTACTGAAAAGTTTGGAAATGTAATGCAGAAGAGAGATGCATGTTATATGTCAGTGAAATAAAAAAGATATCTAATTTTCTTTCTGTGTCTTTCAGCTGCTTCAAGAAAGTATTCATGATGAAGTGGTGGAAAAAATTGCAAAAGCCTACAAACAAGTTAGAATTGGTGATCCCTGGGATCGTAAGTGTTAATTTACTTCATTATAGGAAAATTGAGATGAGTTCTGAAACTAAATTAATAAAACCTGTAAATTACATAGTTCAGAAATCAGCCATATTGTATAACTGGGATAATACTAAATGGAAATACTAAATGGAAAAAAAAAATTGCAGACCTTTCAAAGGTGGCAGGAGACCACACTGAAAATTTAAATAAAGAAAGAGATTGAAAATGCAGTGAATCCTATCTCAGCCAACCTAATATGCTCATAAAGGCATGGGTGACAATGAGGCCAAATTTAAATTAACTTTTCAAGTGTAATAGTTGTGAAATAAGAAAAACCAGGCGGGTTAATTGTGAAGACCTGTATAGGTTTCAGGGGGAATTAATTGAATTGATTTCCCTTTATGCAATGTAAAAGAGATGGAAGTGAGTGCAAACCTCAGCCCCTGTCAGTTGTGGTTTCAGTGCAGCTGTTTCCAAATATTGAAAGACAGCAAATCATTGATCGGTGTGTATTGTCTTTGTTCACAGCCAGCACTCTGTATGGTCCCCTTCACACGAAGCAGGCAGTTGAGATGTACAAAGCAGCAATCGAAAAAGCCAAAGAGCAGGGGGGCACTTTAGTGTGCGGAGGGAAGGTACTGAACATAGTTTGCCATGCTACATAACATTAATAAAACAAAAGTGTACTTTAAAGTTTCAATAAAATAACATTTAATAAAATTGAATTATTAGGAAATAATTTGATTATAAATTATTTGTCCTAACAGGTGATTGATCGTCCTGGGAACTATGTGGAACCCACCATAATCACTGGCCTTCCCCACGATGCACCTATTGTCCATACAGAAACCTTTGTTCCTATTCTGTATGTCCTGAAGTTCAAGGTAGGAACCAGAAAAATGTGACACTGTATTAAACCAGTGTTGGAGAAGATCTTTTGAAGGTGTTGCTGTCAACACTTGTAAACTGAAAACAGATGAAGTCTGAGGTGCCACTGAATCATGTTGTCTCTTGGACCAGTGATTGGGTTTGTGTCAAGAGTAAACTTCAAGGGGGAAGATGGAAAGGGATATGGAAGTACAAAAGCAGATGGAAGTAAATTATACTAAGCAGTATCTAGTCCAGGAGGGTATTTTTCTGTGCTTGATCATGTTAGGTGATTTGGATACAGAATTGGTGTAGTGATTTTACATGAAACTACAATATGCAGAATCTACAGTACGTTTGGATTGCCTACAGTTCAAAAGGAAGTAGAAAAGGATTGATGGTCATATCCTTACAACATGTAAGCATGTAGCTGCAAGCGCCGATATACTTGTGTGCATCCTCTTCACCCTTTGCTCAAGTCAGGATGTTTCTGCTGTTCTAGACTGAGGAAGAAGCTTTTGCCTGGAACAATGAGGTCAAGCAGGGTTTGTCCAGCAGCATCTTCACTAAGGACCTGGGCAGAGTATTCCGCTGGCTGGGGTAAGGTTCTCCTGCTGCTGAAATCTGTTAAATGTGGTTGTAGTACCAAGACGAGTCACTTAGTATTTTCATTTTTGATTAACTGGCTTGGGTACCATACTGTATGTGTTGGTTTGGCCCTTAAAATGTGCTACAAATTATAAAAACATCAGAATGTAACAAAAAACCTAAATCCAAAAGGCCTTTTTTCATATAACATTTTCAATTTGTGTTATAGGTATGAAACGTTAACAGTTACTTTTTAGTTAAAACATTGTTTTCTGTGTTGTTTCATGCTTGACTATCAGTTGACAGGCTTAAAGTAGTGAATGAATTACATAACATTTATCATGGTTAAAGATTTACAATTAAATGATGATGACTGAAATATTAAACATAGAAACCTGGAGTGAAGGCAAGTGTAGCACATGCATTAATGCTCTATGAAATCCATTGGAAATATGGATTAATCAATGGATTTAATATAAATTTTATTTATACTGTTTTTTCCAGCCCCAAAGGCTCAGACTGTGGTATTGTAAATGTGAACATTCCAACCAGTGGGGCCGAAATTGGAGGAGCTTTCGGTGAGCTGGTGTCTTACTGCTTTAGTCCTCTGATGAAGGCTACCCTTCCTCCTGCACAGTTTTGTTGAGCTAAGTTTTGCTTAGACACTGTAGCTGTCATGAACTATACCATACAGTTTAAGTTCCAGGGACCTGTCACATCTCAGTGCCCAGCTGCTTGTTTGACCTGGAAATTGTTCATATTTCTTTAATTGAAATAAAGAAAATTGATGACATGAGACTCTCAAACACTTAATTGAAAATATATATATAAACTGAGGTTTTTATTTACTTCATTCAATTCAATTATTTGGTATAGAAGTTATTCAGACTGTCTCAGAGTGTGTTCACAAGTAGTTGTTCTGTCAATGTACTGATTGTCTATTAGACCTGAAAGAGAGAAACAAAACACTAGAAAGAGAGTCCATTATTATTAAGAACACTACAGAATGATTATCTTTGGGGGTTTTTTGGTTCAGTTTGAAGGGCCTCTGAAACCAGCATATAGAAACAGTCATGTCATTTGCCAACCTGCTTAATACCATACGATGTATCGAAATAGTTTTAAAGCAAGTGTAAAATCCATTCGGCCATTCAGGTGGTGTAACGACGTACCTCTCGTGGTTGTGTTTGTAGGTGGAGAAAAGCACACGGGAGGTGGGCGAGAGTCAGGAAGTGATTCCTGGAAGCAGTACATGAGGCGATCCACATGGTGAGCGCAGGTTACTTCTCTTGACAGATGAAAAACAGTGGACACAGCAGTTTTGAGAAATAAAAATACAGTTTTGGTATCAGTATAGGATTTGGAAACTAGGTCTGAAAGGTTAGAATGATTCTCTGAAAAATTATTATATGCTCATTATTCCAAAAGCAAATCTTAAACGTGTTTTATCTTGTGTTTTCTTTTTATTTATTGTTGTTGTCATTCTGTAAAGTGCTTTGAGAAGACACCTTTGAAGGCACTATATAAAATAGTTTATTATTATTATTATTATTATGGGATGTGGAGAGCCCCACTTGCAGGATTTGAAGTCAACAGTGTTTTTTCTTTGATGCTGACATGGCAGGTATTGCTTAAAATGGACACAGACCTAGTTTAATGTGTTAATTTAAGGACTTGACGAAAAGATTCTTCAATTTCATATTCAGAACCACTACCAACAGAAGTCCCCACTATGAGAGTGTGAATTAAATCATATCTCTGCCTATTCAATACGTTTTCTTTCTGTGGTATGTAATAAGTGACAAGATAAAATACATGTTTCAATATTACATGTGCTACATGTTATATTATTACTTGGGCCTAATACCTAACAACTTGTAAAATCACAATTTTTGTAAAAATGTTATTGTAAATTGACTTCTAAAAGAAAAATATTTCATTCTGCTCTACCAATGCAAATTGACTCCCAAGCTTTCTGTTAATTAGGGCAACTTCCACACATGTTGTAAAATATCACATTTTATACAATCCGATTACGAGAGATTTTAGAAAAACAGACAACAGCGTGTACATACTATTGATGATACTTTAACATTCAATAGCAAACAAATTGAATCTCGAAAACATTTATTCAAAAGTAATGTACAGTAGGATGTGTTGTGAACGTGTTTTAAAGAGAAGCTTGTCATGAAGGTTTCTGGTTTTTCTTATACAGATTCAGACTGTGTTTTGTTTGTTTGTTACAGCACCATCAACTACAGCAAGGATCTGCCTCTTGCTCAGGGAATCAAGTTCGAGTGAAAACATCAGAATATAAACAGACAAACAGGAAAACAGCAAATGTGCAATCTCAAAGTAGACTGATCTGATCTCTTTCTCAACTACAATTACATTACAATGCCTATTCTTTAGTCATGGGGGGGGGGGTTAATGCTATTTTGAATTTTCTAATGTAATTCTGAATATAGAGTTAACAGCATTACCTAAAACTTGGGCACTTACGAAGAAATGGAGTAAACTGCATCTGGTAATTTTGTACTGCATAAAAGTGGGAAAACCATTGAAAAAGCCTTTCAGAACTTAAACCCACAATCTCTGATTCTTTAAATCAACCATTTTTGTGTTCTTTGTAAACACTATTCAATTCATGCTTTATTCAAATAAACCATGCTTTTTTCAATTAATGTCTTGAAAGCTTTTATTTTTATTTTGATATCGTAAGTATCATAACTTCTAAACATGGGCATCTTGGTAGAAGACATTAACCTTTTACCACCGGCTGAGTGAATTTTGCATAGATCACCATAGCAGGGAATGTATTCATTTTTAAATGTTTTTGATTGCTTCTGTATTTGATCCACAGAAGTCTGCTTATTTACAATTTAATATATTACCAGATATTTTTCTGCCCTGTTCTGAATCGCAGAACATGGTGCTGTGTGTACTTGGAAATCTATTTTAAATGTAAATCGGTGGATTTACAAGTTACTCTGTACATTTTACTTTTATTGTGATTTGAAATATACTCTTAAATTCTGATTCTTTCTAACCCTGAAATATAAAAATAGAATTGTAGTTCCCCAAGAAATGGGAACTTTTATAACATTGCAATGTTTTCATATCGGGTTGTAATTAAAGATATAAAACCTTTTACTGTTAAATGAATTTACAGTTAATTTCCCAAATAAATAATAATTGCTTACACTTATGTAGCGCTTTTCTGGACACTCCACTCAAAGCACTTTACAGGTAATGGGGACTCCCCTCCACCACCACTAATGTGCAGCATCCACATGGATGATGCAACATCAGCCATAGTGCACCGGTGGGAAGGAGAGCAGAGTAATGAAGCCAGTTCATTGATGGGGATTATTAGGAGGCCATGATTGGTAAGGGCCAATGGGAAATTTGGCCAGGACGCCGGGGTTACACTCCTACACTAGAAACGCTCAGGGATTTTTTTTTTATGACCACAGAGAGACAGGACCTCAGTTTTATGTCTCATCCGAAGGACGGCACCTATTTACAGAATAGTGTTCCCGTCACTATACTGGGGCGTTAGGACCCACACAGACTGCAGGGTGAGCTCCCCCTGCTGGCCCCACTAACACCTCTTCCAGCAGCAACCTTAGTTTTTCCCAGGAGGTCTCACATCCAGGTACTGGCCAGGCTCACACCTGCTTAGCTTCAGTGGGCTGCCAGCAGTGAGTTGCAGGGTGATATGGCTGCTGGTGATGTAACTGCATCTTTATTAAAATATTTAAATCTAGAATCGGTCTGCCACTACAGCAATTCTTTGTAAACTGTCTAATGTTGATGATGAAAAGAATCTCTTTCATTAAATGCAATTAATTGTTAATGTCAAACAACTGCTCATCAAGGCTCCCATGTAGGATCTAGTAAATTATCATCTCTTTGCTCAATCACTGAGACCAATCACACCATCTCAGCAAAATACAACGTTAGTAATTCGGCATAGCATGTCAAATTGTGTCAGTGCAAAATTCTAATGTGATTGACAAAGGAGAATTAGTCATTTACAATATTCTTAAGCCTCTTATTCAAAAGACCCAGATGAGATCTTTAATTATACAATAAAGGTCTTAATGGAAATTGCCATTTAATTCATACTGCATAATTGAATTTCCCTTGCCAAGAGATTAAACTGATAGGATTGCTTCATGTATCATTTGATACTTCAAGAGTTCTATGGGCCTTCTTTAATGCAAAAGAAAAATAGAATTGTGAAGCAAAGTAAATTAGTATCTTAGATTTCAATTTGAGCAGCTCTGTGAAATTCAAACAAGGTATCATGAAAGAAAAATAAAAACAAATGGCAGGTGGATGTCAGAAGGAGATGCCTATCTTCTAAGAGTTTCTTTCACGTTTAGTCATACAGCTATTGATACTGGGAAATTGTTGGAGTGGGCAATTACATCAGGATGAGAACTGCAAAGGATCAAGAAGAGGTTCATTACATGTTGAAAAGTAAAAATAAAGAAGTGGGGGAGCGAGAAAATGAGGCAATGAGGTGGATAAGACAAAGGAAAGAGAATTTGATCATATGTAGGAGGTAAAAAAGGTGACCAAAGAGATAGAAGTCTGAGAGTCAAATTAAGATTCTTAATGATTGACTTAAGTTTATATACAGTAAATGGGAAATAATTGTTAATGCCACGATGCTTATAGAACAATTGTGGAATAATTGTGTAGTGGTAAGACATCTTTATTATTTAAGTTGGAGTTTAATGTGGTTGTATGCCATAAAAAATAGCTCCAAATGTTTGTTTTTTTGAGTTGACTAAAAACTTCAGATCTAAAGCATTAAGGTGAATATAGTAATATGAACATAAAAACAATATTTAAATACAAATCCATGCACAACAGTCTCAAATTTAGGTATGGTATTATTGGAAGACTCTTCATTACCAGATGATTTCAAGCTATCCAGCTAATTAAAAATACTTAAAACATACCACTTGATGGTAGGTTTTGATTTATCGGAGGTAATTTGAATTTAACCAACTAAGGATTGACTTTACAACCTTAGGGATACACACTCTCTATGTGTATTTGCTTCATTTGAAGTCAAGTATCATCCTTGCCTACTGCCTTGCACTCCTTCCAAACACAGTACCTTATCTTTCCCTGTGACCCCTCTTGTCCTCTCCCTTGTCCTTCTCTTTTCCTCCTTTTGTTCCCAGCTCTACCTTCCCCTCACCAGAAACATTACACATGCTCTGTATTTTGAAGTGTAGAAATTGTTATTCTCAGTGTGCATGCTGTGTTTTGCTAATGTCTTAGTTTAACGTCTTTTGTGAAGCTGGTGACAGAAAGGTTCTGCAAGAGTAAAGCTCTCATCAAAACTGAATCGAGGCCGCTGTGAACAAACTATGCTTTTATACTTCTGGGAGTGTTGGTAATTTTCCTTCCACATACTTTTACAAAACGTTGCTTAACCTTGTCATGAAACCTATAAGATCTCTCTGTTTTCTGCACGACTTTGAGACTGGAGAACAGTCATCCTTCCCTTGTGAGGTTCTTCAGTCTCCTTGCGATCTCCTGTGAGCACCCACTTGCCTCCCATGGCCCCTTCTGGTAGAACCAGATACCTGTATATATTATTCATACGTTTATAGATTCTATGATCTTTTTCTCCATATTGCAACCTAGAAATGCTTACAGACAGCAGTGTTCTACCTGGCAAGGCCCACTGTAGAAAATCAAACAAGCATCTTCTTCTACTCAGTGTTCAAGTTTAGTACATTGTTTTCCTTCTTGGTATCTGCTGTGGTTGCTCACACGGAGTCTTCCCCTTTTAATCCCAAATTGATCTGCTATATTTACGTTTTACCCTGTACTAGCTCTGCATATTACATAATTACTATATTTGTAAATGGAAGTTGTATTGGATTAAAGCATCAGTCACACTTCGTATTGTATTTCACCAGCTTTTCTAACCACTTTCTCCATAATCCATGCATAATCCATCCCCAGGTCCTGAACTGAACCCAGGGCCTCAGAGCTGCAAGGCAGCAATGCTAAAAACTGTGCCCCCCCACATGACTTGTTTGTTGTAAATGTATATAACCATGTGTTCAGGTTCAACAACCAAGAATAATCCTTCTTTATAAAGACTGATGGTCTAAAAAACGAATGCATGAACTTTTTTGTTTACATTTCAATAAAATACACTAGTATGTTCAGCTTTGATTCCATATGCTAGCTGATCTTTCTTTTGACAATGAACTGGCATCCACTGTACACCCTGTTTTAGCCACTGTCAATCAAATGAGAGGTGTGTTCAACTGATGGTTTCCAAAGATTCATGATCTCTAAGTGACAAAACATTTCCACACTTAATTACAGACTGTTTTCAAGAGCAGTGTGTGTTCATTAGCATTTCATTAATAATCACCATGAAACTGCACTATTACGCACAGGTTCTAATTAAAATGTACCACCTATTCAGTGGCTATTATATAGCTGTAACATGGCAGGTTTATTAAAGTGTATGAGATTCAGTGGTGATTTTTAAATCAGCCTACTGTTTCTACATGTGCTGTGTGTTCATCCAGCCATCAGGGGTCATCCTTTACAGACAACACAGAGAAGCAGCAGTGCCACACAAAATTCAAGCTGAGGCTTAAATTGAATCCATAACCCATCTCCAGCTGTTTAATTAAAAATGTCTAATTCTGAAAATTATTATTACTCCAATTAAGTGTTCAATGAAGTAATTGGGAACACAGCTTGAACAACAACAAAACACTCTAGGTAATCCGTAATTGGCATAGTAGATTGAGTAAAATATGCCTTACAGAAATAACCAATGCCAGACAAAATAAGGCAAAGCAATATCATTTAGTGGACCCTCCGCAGTTCACAGGAATCATGCTCATGTTGAGATTTGTAAATCTTATTTCCCCTAAAACTGATTTATAATTTTATTACATAGTGGATATTGTTTTTAATTTAACACTTCTAGTTTGCTTCATTTCATCCAAAAATGCTCACATTGCTTGAGATTTAGTGAATGAATCACAGCAGCCTGTTCAATTGTTCAATGCTAAAAAGACTAGATAAGAGATAAACACATTAAACACCTAAAGCACATACTGTAGTTTTTATAAGGCTCAGGGATAATGTGTATGCTCCAGAATTTAAATGATTAATTTATTCACTCAAATGAGGATGATTCTCTTCCATTAATTCTAAGGTGCATAAAAAGATCAACACGGGATACATACACTGACTGGCCAGTCAGATATTTGAATCTTATGCAAATATCATTGTTAGATATATACATATTTATATGAACATTGTCCATGTTTCAGCCTCATGCTGCAAAGTAGCAGGGTGCCCAGGGTGCATTTTTAGATTTCAGGTGATGAAGTATTTCTTCATCAGTATTATCTTTTGGTGAAAAATAATTTTCAAGGTATGGAAACTGCACTGCATTCAGACACCCATAGTAAATTGTTGTATTTGTAGTTACCTGATAAAGCCCTTTCGATTTCTGGATGTTACGATTAAGTCTCATCTTCTCATAGGCTTCAGAAAATATGATGAACATTGTTTGGAGATCCATTTTTGTCAAGGCACACTCTGCTGCATAATCACTATTGGAGTTCAATAAAGAAATTCAACCACATTAATGTAGGATACTTGATAGATTGCAAGT